ACGATCAACTCGCCTATTTAACGGTAAAATGCGTTTGTCAAAAAAGTAGAAATAAAAAAGAAATTTTATATACATAGATATCACAGAGGTACCCAATACCCAACCTTTTTAGTTCAAACAAGAACTGTAGTACAACGCCAAGTCCTAAGAAGCATATAGTCAGATGCACCTTATAAATCTCTATCTTACTCTATAATAGAAAGCTAATCATTTGAAATGTTATAAACTAGCGGTACCTTTTTATGGTGAATAAAAACAGTCGTGCATGTAGTGATGAATAGCCAAATAAAATCAGTCAACAGCGATCTTTCTCTGTGTAATGTAGAACAATAAGATGCCGATGAAATTGCAGTACCTGCCAAAAATACCAGCCATAAAGTGGTATCCATTTCAAATCTTCTTTTAATACATAACGTATATGTCCCAGACTGCCTTGTCGCACAGCTAACATATTCACAATTAACCAGTCAACTATAAATGATTTCAAAATTATATATATTAGCAAGTTAATAATTTGTCTAGATTACCTGAACTTTGATGATTACATATAAATAAAACATTTTCTTTTCGTTCTAATATTTGCTCATAATCACCATGTAAATAAAGCTAAAATAAAGTAAAATTTGAAAATCAGTAAATTTTAAATAGTTCTTTAGTTTGATATTTTACATCAACATTTGCCCAATTTTCAAAATAGAACAATACTAATCGTTGATAAACACTATACATATAATCATCGCATATTCGAAATAAATGTTTTGGAAATAAAACTGTTATTGCACGCATTAAACACCATAGAGTAAAATAAGTAGGAGCTGTTCCTATTATTCCCACAACAGGCACAGCCGATCTTAATTGATGAACAGCAATTAAAAGTACTGTTAACATAATGGAATGATGTTCGTTGTATCAGTAGAAAATTTATCTAGAATAGAAAAATGTACAATTTATCCGATCAAGCTGTATGTTCTTCTAAAAAAGAGATAAAAGAAGTCACATCATGTTGCATATAAATGGAAGATAAATTGATATTAAAGAATACTAGTCAGAATCTACTTAAAAATGATAACAAAAAATATATATTAAGTTCCATTTATTTGTTTTATTTGAAAATAGTCTTTAATTGAAAAATTTTGTTGTAGATTCTTTAAATATTCTCTAACATGCGGTGCCATTCTCATTTTTCGTCGTTTTGTTTTTCTTTTATGTTTAATTACAGCAATTTTATTTGGTTTCATCAATTTTTTCTTTTTTCTCGCTAACGGATTTGGTTCCTGTATTTTCTTTCTCTTTGGTTTTGGTTTTTCATCAGTTGTCGGTAGTACATCTTGTTTAATTTGTTTTAATGTATCCTGTTCATATTTTGTTAAATTTAACTTAGCTGTTTGAGTTTCATTCACATATGAATGAGAAATATCAGATGGACGTTCTAAATTGATGGAATTATGAGTGATCAACAGTGTGGGTAACGAAGGATAATGAGCACGAATGTAAGTACGCAGTGATAATGACTAAAATAAAATCAAAAATGAATTAATTCAGTTTTATACACAGTTTATTATCAAAAATCATTCGATATTTTGCTGTACTTGATATTAATATATTGATGATTCAATCAAAACTAGTCTGGTAGTTCTAAAAAAATTTTCGCCGAGATAACTCGATAAGCGCCACAAAACGAACCGGATCCGAATCTTTTGATTCTCAGAGTCTAGAGACCAGGCTTCTAAAGATCTATTCAGACAAACAATCAGGACATAAATGGACATCCAATTCGTAATTTGTATCAAGAATTACTCTAGCTTTAATTAGAAAAGCTTTGGATCATCTGGGAAGATTTCTGTGTAAGTCTTTTTCGTACAGATTAAATTACCTGTGATGCAATAAAAAAATTTTTGTTTATTTCTTTCGCTAATAATTGTTCTATACATTTTTCAGCTGATATTAATGGATAATGATTACACTTGAAAATCTGATATTGTTTCAAAATTAACATTGGCCCATGGCCCAATGGTCCTAATAATTCTGTTTCTTTAATTGCACATAGTGTTGTCATCAAACGAACGTCTGCTGTTTCCAAATATGATTTGATTTGTTCATCAATAAGAATTTTCCATTTTAAAGCTTCAAAACAAAATGTACCATCAATTAAAACGATATAAGGAGGCTCAATTTGAAAATGAGTCTTGTAATAATTTAACCAACGTCGAATAAATTTATGACGTGTATGTTTAACCATCTGAAGAAAAAAAGAAAATTAGATAGTAAAACAAATAGTTAATTTAAAACATCAATTCAATTTAGTTGGCATCTTCATAGTTAAAAATAACGTAAAAATATATATTCGCAGTGAAAAATATTCGAGTTATTGATATCTCGATCAATTATATCTTTCTCACTCTAATGAATCGATTAAAAAAGTTTGATACCATTGCATCAAAATAACGTCTTAGTTAAATGAAGATAGACGCATCAGAAGGTACAAAACAAAACCATGACAAGAAGATAGTTGATTTCGATATTCTAACTAAACGGGAGATAGTATTATCAATAAGACGAAAGTCACTGTCAAAATTAATCATTACGCGAACATTGTCTATTTTTAAAGTGATATCAAAGAGAATAGCTCACAAGCACTTCTCGTTCTCTTAAACAAGAAATCCGTTTCATTACTTCATAACACATTTTCAAGTTTTTTGTTATTAGAATAAATCGTTAGTTTACTGCACAATTGTGTTTGATTGATAGACAATATTTGTTGGTGTTCTACTCAGTACTAAAGCAATAGCAAACAATGAAACGGTGGATACTAACAAGGGTGAGCCAGTGTTATAACTTAAAATCGCAAAAACAATGTTTACTACAATAACAGAACAGTAAAAAAAAGTAAACTACAAAAAAAGACAACAAAATCAACATGATATTATGATTGCGAATTGTATGAAGAATCTCTAGTTTTAAAATGATGAAATTGTAAAGCATCTTTGATAATTATGTGTCTTTGACAAAGGTGAGAAATCTGCTTAATAATAGAATGGCAATTTTGACAAATTTGTAAACTTTTTGTTATTCGAATTGGTCTTGTGGAAGTCGTTTTCTTTAAAGCTAATGCTAACGCTAATAGTTCACTATGTTTTGATAAGTTTAATCGTCCATCTAATTGTTTATCTAATTTATTTAATTCTTCGTCAATTTCATCTATATTTCGATGTTGTTTATCGTTAGAATAGAGTGAATGAATAATACCGTTGATATTTACCCACGATATATCAGAAATGTCCACATACTCTCTACTTGTGATCATGGAGTAAATATGATTAGCTTGTTCATACTGACCTTGTACTGTGTATGCATTTCCTGAAGGAAACAAATCAAAAAAAACAATAACGAGACGACAACATTACTTAATAATCACGGTCCTCAATAAACAAATGTGATAATCCGAAAGAAATCTTTAACTACTCGGTTTGATTAGTTAACTCTCCTGTTGGAGTGAAATTTTGTTACGCTCTTTTTGATATTTTGTTGATATAAGCTTTTTATTCTTCCAGAATACCAGCGAAAACATCCACTATAGTATTCTAAACTACCAATAACGAAAAACACAACATCAATTATGTACGAATAGAAATTCAAACACACGAGGTTCGTGCTAATAAACTTCGAAACTAAATTCACTGCTCTGTGCATATATTCTGCATAACGATTGAAGTAGAGCAATTGACTCGATGTTTCCAATATTGATTTTTTTATGGCTAATTTTTGTGTTGATTTTTGAAATATTGTTTCTCTTACAATTTTCAAACGGCGAAATACTCAAAGCTGTGAGATATCTAAAATTGAAAAGAAAAATGTGCTGAAGATATTGACATGTACCCACACTTTACACGACCTTTTCAAACTTACGAGAAAAACTAGATGTTTATATTTTCTCAATGAAACATTGTGTAAAGTGCGAGTACATGTCAAAATCATCAGCACACTGTCCTTTTCAATTTCAGATGTCACACACGGAATTTCACTTCAATAGCAGAGTTAACTAGTCAACCTCCCCCTATCTCACGCGCGCATAGTTCTGTTTTTAAAAATATTCACTCTTCCTTAAATTATTTTGACTACCACAGGATTTCTGAGTACAGATATGTATCTAACTTCCTCATTCACGAGAGGACCTCGCGAACTGTCACATCGCTTTTTCAGCCTAATCTAGTGGGTTATAGGTTATCAACTATTGTGAATCCGAATATCATAGTGGTAGCCGCCCAGGAACCTTCAGAGAGCGTTTTTGTGGAAAACCAGTTTTTCAGAAACTCTAAAAAGTAACTAAAACCTTTCTTAATGAGCCATGATTGTAGCTCGCAAATTTCTGATTAGAATGAGACATCTCCCAGCTCTACACGACCTTTCTTTGCAAAATTATAGAATTTACAAGAAACGCCCTAAATTAATTTCCTCTTATTTCTGTAGCTGGCAATGAACATTTAGGGTATTTCGTGTAAATTCTATAATTTTGCAAAGAAAGGTCGTGTAGAGCTGGGAGATGTCTCATTCTAATCAGAAATTTGCGAGCTACTGGCTCATTAAGAAAGGTTTTAGTTACTTTTTAGGGTTTCTGAAAAACTAGTTTTCCAGAAAAACGCTCTCTGAAGGTCCCTGGGCAGCTACCACTATGATATTCGGATTCAGCATAGTTGAAAACTAGGTTTGGCTGAAAAAGTGATGTGACAGTTCGCGAGGTTCCCACGTCAGCAGAGAGAGAATGGGATCGTTTACCTAATTTAACATGTGATGATGTGTAATATTGTAAATCAATTTTATTTTCGAATTGTTTTAATTTTTCAGTTATTTTCGATATTTCAATCACATTTCCATCATTTTTAGCTGCATCTAATACTATCAAATAGAGAATAGGATTTGATACATTCTCCTTTTCATACTGTTCAATCAACAATTGTGCCTCATCATATCGTTTGTTACGGACTAATGTATCAATCTAAAACAGAATGAAATTATTTCACAATGTTATAGTACTCTACGAACAATAATTATCAAGCGATCTTTCTAACAAAAAAGGATACTTACCATAGTTCCATAAATATAATTATTTTTTTCTTCAATCGATTCAAATAATATTTTTGCTTCTTCAATCATTTTTAACTGACCATACGAATATAAAACAATAGAGTATGTTTGAGATTGAGGTATAAAACCATCTTGTTTCATTTGTTTGAATAATTTCAATACTTCATTGGTGCGCGCATTAATCGCATAAGAATTCAAGAGTGCATTCCATATTTCTATTGTCCGTCTACCTTTTCCTAGTTGATCAAATATTTTTTTTGCACTTTGAACGTCACCACTATGACCATAGAATTGAATTAGTGCAATTTGTAATTCAATCGATTTCGTTAAGTTCTTATATTTGTACAATAGTTCAGCATGCACCGCCTGACCATCCTCTAAATCAAAAAATGTATCGTATTAAAAATATAAAAAATATAATTGAGTAGTGCTTAAAAAGTTAACACACAAATTATCAAAGAGCTATCGTATTTATGTTTCTTATTATGAATCACTTAAACTGGTAGTAAAGTATATTATTCATAGAATATTTAAACTAGCTAGTATTATTGAGTAGCTGAGAATTAAGGACATACTTTTATTTTTAGGTTTCGTCGGTTTTTTGGTTTCTATGATCGAACTTATTTGATTGAGAATTTAATTCTCTACAAAATTAATTGAAAACAGTCTTGCTTTTTGTTGTGGAATACGGAAAAGTAAAACATCTAAAATGGTCTTAATGTGTCATCAAAAATGATTGAAAGATAAATCCTGTTCCTGTTTTAAAATGAGGCCAGTTTTACACTTCAAGTATGACAGAAAAATTCCTTAGAAAATCCTGCCTCTTTTGATTAATATTTTGAAGTTTTTAGATTAAAGTTTTGAGTGAAAGTAGTAGTTGAAGAAAAATCATGCAGTTTTGTAGAGAATTGAGTTCTGCATCGTTCTGAATGAGAACAAACAAATTTTTCATAGAATTTGACTTTGGAATCTTCAAACTCTCTCGTCCCAACCCAAAACTCAATGTGAAAACCATTTTTTAATCTTTATAAAGTAGAATCAAACCTTTAAAGAAAACTTAAGTAAGGCTGATTGATAGAGCAGAGAATTCTCTATCTTCTTGTCGAAGAACTTTTACTCTGTTTTTTTGGGGGGATTTTTATCTGATAAAAAATTTGTGGGATAACGAAAAATCATCAAAAGTATTTTCATCAAATGACGTTTGATCGAACGATTATTCATCGCACGGACTTTTTATCGAACGACATTTCGTCGCATTGACGAATTATTGACTTTTCCTAGATAACTGAATGATAACTACAAAGTAAATAAAAGTATACTGGCTGTAAGTAGCTTGAGTTGAAGGAAAGTTTAAGTTAATTCTTCAACGTGTGACACAATGAAATACAGATATAAAGTAGAGGAGAAAAAAGTGACGTTAAATTTCGTACGAGTTGAACGTGATCATAGAAGAACAGAAAGGTTTTTTTTAAAAGTTAATAAAGTAGTAAATGTACACATGTCATATTGTTTGTCTCCCTTTTTACATGATTCTCTATATGAGAATGTTATGGTCAAAAGCAAAACATTCTATCACTTTCATAAATTTTCTTCAGAGTAAAATTTCAATATAATTATGACCAGTTTTTTTATCAACAACTAAAGGCAAACGTTTACTACATTTGAATAGTTATGAATATGTAACTTAAAAAAAAAAAATCTGATGAAAAAACATATTGAAAATGTAAAGATTATTGGTCAGAAAAATGTAACGTTCGTGTTCATACATTAAATATTGATGATTCTATTGTTCACAAGAGCAAGAATAACTAATGAGACTACCAATGATATATTATCAACTTTTATGACTAGTAATTATAATAAGTTTTCTATTCCTATTCTACCATCTTTCTGTTCTTTTATGATCACGTTCAAATCGTACGACATTTAAAGACACTTTTTCTCCTCTACTTTATATCTGTATTTCATTATGTCACATGTTGAAGAATTATCTTAAACTTTCCTTCAACTCAAGCTATTTACAGCCAGTATACTTTTATTTACTTTGTAGTTATCGTCCAGTTATCTAGAAAAAGTTCATAGTATATCAATACGACGAAATGTCGTTCGATGATTTGTCGTGGATTCTAAACTTTTGTCTATCGTGGTACAATAAGTCTAAGACATTTTACTTTTCCGTAACCTATAGCCAAAAGAAAAACTATTTTCAAAATTAAACCAGTTAATTTTGTAGCAAATTAAATTCTTAGTTAAATAAGCTTAAGGATAGCAACAACAAAAAACATATAAATACAAAAGTATATCATTCTATTTGTCGATCACTCGATATAATCACAGTTATATACAATTATTTTTCTGTCTCTTACCTAAACAGACATGTGCAATCATTGAACAGGCTTGTAAGACGTTAATAAATGTCTGTACATTCATTTCTATTTCTTCTTGTTTCTTTTTGAATTTCATTTTTGCATAGAGTTCTAGTGTACGTTGAGGCATCTGATTCAAATTATAGCACTTCATCATTGAATTATATGTATACACCGAATATTTTGTTTGTGTCTGAAATAATATTTCAGCTGATTTAACATCAAAACATTGAGAATACATATCGATTATTATTGATAGAATTTGAGACTTCATCATTGATTTTTGAGTCACTAGTTCATGAATTTCTTTTCCTTTTTCTAAATTACCTAAAATAAATAAATAAACAAATACATAACATAAGAAGATAAATAATAAATGAGTAAAAAGTATCCGTACGTAATTTGGCACAGGCTCGTAATATTAACATATACAGTGTAACGGACGGTTGAATGTGTTGATCATTACGTCTCATTTTTTCAAATAAAATTATAATTTTTTCAGCCATTTGATTATAATCATAGCATTGCATCATTCCTGTATAAGTATGAATATCATGCTGTCGAATTTGTTCAAAAAATATATTTTCACATTCTTTCATTTGTCCACATTGTGAATACATTTTCATTAAAGATATTTTAATAATATTATTTTCAATTATATCGATCTCAGACGATGATTCGACTAGTTTATGAAGCCATTTTCCTTTATCAAGATTTTTTAAATTTGCACAAGTCAATAATGCCAATGAATATATATGTGAATCAGGTTTAATACCTTTTGCAAGTGTTGAATCAAATAATTTTAATGATTTTTCATTTTGATTTAAATCATTGTAATATTTCATTAATTGACCTAATTTCAAATTATATATTTTTGCACGACGATGGGATGGATGAGATAGATCTTCCGTTTTCAAGACTGTTGAAGGTGTTACTGATAAATAGCGATAAGAAAAAGATGTTGTTGTTGTTGGTACAATAAATATTCTTGACAAAAGTAATTTTCGAAACATATCTGAAATACAGTCAAAGAGTCTTTTTTCGAAATAAACATTTTTAAAATTTTAATATGCTCAATTAAACTTTGAATTCAAAATTGGAATAGAGAAAAAAAAAGAAAACCAGAAAAGAAAGAGGAGAAGAAGAGTCAATACCGATCAAGTGAAGAAACAAAACTCGTAAAGACTAGAAATATCAATAAACACAAAATACAGTTCTTAATAAAATAATCTAATTTAAAATTAGATTTTATAAATTTTTTGTTTTCATTCTATAGTATTATGTAAAAGTTAAGTATTGATCACAAGGCGTTTCAACGATTCGATTAAAAAGATCAATACGTCAAATATTCGCTTTTTAATGGTTAAAATCATTAAGTGGCTATTTATTCAATTACGGTAGGCATCAATATAGTCACTTTTATCATAGATACGATAATAATTACAAATATAGAAAGAAAGAAAGCGAAGATCTGTATTTAGGAATATTCATATAAAGAATGGTCTAGAAGATCTGTCTCGATTTGAGCAATAAATATTGTTCAAATCGAGACAGGATTTCTGGATCACCCTCTATATGGGTAACTCCAGCGTCACGGACCTTTATGCCACTATAGACTTTCAACCAAAAAGGTCCCTATTGCCATCGCATATTGGTACCGAGTTACTGAATATATTATGAAAAAATTAACAGTTATAAGTACTTATTAAGGCCACTTTTCATATGAGAAAACTACGCCTTTTTTTTCCTCATCATGTCTCTCAATAAATCAGATTTTATTCATTATGAATAAAATCTTGTACAGTTGTAACTAAATACGCACCAGCTCTTTTTGAAAATAGAAATTGAACTTCAGAGTAAATGTTTTTTTTGAATACCAACAGATTTTTCACCACAGAATAAGATACAATAGATTTTGTATTCTTATTTAATAAGCTAAAACCAAGAATAAAACTAATTCACTCGAAAAATTTCAATTCTACTTTTTTAAAAAAGTGTTCTGAGGTTAGATTTAAAGTTGACACCAATCTCTTTGATAGCTTATTTTACAGAGAAAAGTCTTGACTATAGTCTGACATCATAGACAATTGATAACAGATCCAGTTAAGAAACATAATTATTTTCACAAATTAATTGAAAAATCAATTTTAGAATTGGTGCTGTAACATATTCACAATTACGCAAAATTCAAACCCATCATTATTCACAACACTAAATATATCTCAACTTGATCATAATAGAATGAGAATGTAACTCGAAAATACGTTTTTGTAGTTTAAATTGTCGATCTTTGTAAGAAGATTTCTCATATCAAGCTCGGTTAAAAAGCTTTTGTTTTGATGTTAAATTAGACTTTATTTATATGATCTTTTCTAGATAAGTGTTTGGCGGTGTTTTCAACATTAAATACTAGAAGGCACAAAAGCAAATGATTGCTTAGCAGTAAAATGTGATTTCTAGCTGTTGAATAGTTTTGCTACTCAATTGATATCAAAATCTAGAGTAAGATCTTCATTTTTCAACCACAAATTAAATTTTACAACAAAGTTTTACGCTCATAAAAATCGACTATGAAATATGCCACTTTATCTCTTTTCTTTCTAAGAGAATATCTCAACATCGCTATTTGTTATTAAAACAAGTCGATGCGTAGACAAAATGACATTTTTTAAATTGAAATTTGCTGGACGAAAGTTTATCTTTAAAAGTTTTTGATCGCGATGTAAATATTACACAAGTAAAGAACATTGATACTGAAATTATAAAACGAATAGAATGTAAAAAAGTATTCAAATTTGAAATTCGATGAATACGAACGCTAAATAAAAATATTTTAGTAGTAAAATAGATGGAAATAGAAATTTATACAGAAGTCAATCGCTGTCTATTTTCTATCAGACTTAACAAACAGACTATTGATGGAATTAGAGAAATAGAAAGTTAAGAGTATTTCTACAAATTGATCACACCCTCACTCTCACTCACATCTACAATATAGGATGTAACGATTCTGTAGAAGTGCTAACTTAGACACCAGGCTGCTCTTTATGCATAATTAAAAAGAAATCCTTGAACAAAAAGATTTCTTAATCCTTGTCTTGGTCTCCATCATACTAAGCGGATTAAGTTGTACATACTTTTCAATACTTGAACATAAACGTTAATTGTAGTTATAAAAATCAATAAAAAAATTCCAGTATCGTCGAATTTTCAAGAACAAGTCAATATCTAGAAAGATTATGAATATACTGTTCTTTTTGAATAGATACTTTTTGCAATAGCATCTTGATACGGTCTAAAGATGATTTTTATGTGATTCTAATTAGACCTTCCCAAGTTCATGTTTCTTTCAGAACTAATGAACTGTTCAAAACGCTATATTCAGCGAACTGAACTGGTCGAACAGTTCTTTTGAGCGAGCTGAACTTTTTAAACAGTTCTGAGCGAACTGAACGTCGTCTTTCAGCTGCTACACTGACACAGTCACACAGTGACTACACGGTATCGTACTAATACAAATATTTTTTAAAGAAACTTCTTAGTTGCTTTTAAAAAAATTACTAAAAATGATGTTGTTTCGGATAGAAAGAAAAGCTCTTATTTGATGACATTGTGATTCTTAAGAGTTTTGCAATAACACCAACAAACATTTCATATATTCACAATAACTTTCATAATATTAAATTTCATTTATTTGTGAATTCAAATAAATACAAGACTTAAATAGGTTAGATAATGTTTTCGGCATCTTCATAGTTCTGTGATCATCCTCAAAAAGTCCTTTAACCTTATCCACTGGATAAGGTTAAAGGATTTCTGAATATACAGTATGAATAGGCATTGACAGGTCCTGGTTGTCCCTATGAATAGACCTTGAGAAGTTTTAACTACGTCCTATGGATAGATCTTGATATATTAGGCCAAATTACAGATCTTCCAAAGTTGACGTTCAGTTCGCTCAAAAGAACTGTTCGACCAGTTCAGCTCGTTCAAAACGAACTGTTCGAAAAGTTCAGCTCGCTCGAAAAGAACTTTTGAACAGTTCTTTCGCTCATTTGAACGGAGTTCGTGAACGTGAGCTGGTGAACCCCTAATTCTTATCTCTTCTGTAACTCATTAGAAAGCATGTTCATCCAAAAACTTTTGCTAGTTCTCGATACGACACTCTGACACTATTATCGTGGTCATAACAGAAGTTAAAGGAATGTAAACTTTAATCTGGATAAAAAAACGCATGTAATAAACGAGAAAAAAAAAACGCAAATCACCGAGCCCAAATTCAGGTTTGTAGCATGTCAAATGACTATTTTTACATTGACAGAGAGGAAATATAGATTTATGAGTCAAAAGGTTGTGTGTGCTTATAGTACGTCTCTCGGCCACATCTCCTCATGATCCATCCGAATATGCATCTTTCTTTGTCTTAAAAATCGTCTTTAATGATATTAGGTTGAGGAAAAAGTTCGTGCACCGTGTTAAAATAATGATTTTTTATATATTTTTTTTTGTGTTTTTGATCTGGTTTTGTGGCTATTATGAAAATTTATTGATTTTTGAAACGCTTGAACCATTTCTGTGCAGTTCGCGGTGCCACCGT